GGTCCAAATTTCTACCCTTAAACACTTCAACACTCCTTTCAGATCGTGTTTCACAAAAGTGTTATTACGCGTCAGTATTAGCTTCGACTAGGGAACATAATTTATTAGAACAAAGAATTCAACCAGAAAATGTATGGCTGAAACATGAGAATGACAAAAGCTAAAAGAGTTTTAATCATATATTTTCGCAAATAAAAGCCATCGTTTGTAATCGGTATAACATACACGAGTGAAACTATGTGATTGATTTTAATTCTATTATTTTTACTCCGCTGCAATGCTCTTCACATTTCTAAGCGTAACTAAATTAGTTGGTTTGCAAAAGAAGAAAAACTATCAAACTTTCAGACTATGATATGAAAATAACACACTGATTGAACGTATAAATTGAAGTCAATTTAAACGCTCGAATAAGGTGATCATGATAGATAATTCATTTTGATTGTTACTAAAGTATATCACTTTCTTGCTCAAAGCCAATTTACATGTAAGTATGTGTTTAGATTAATTTCTCGCATCATTTATTGTGAAATGAGAATTTTATCAATTCTTTTTGAAATAATCAATGATAAAACATTTTTGTGGCTTTATTTAGTCATGGTAGACGTCAGCTATCTTTGACTGCAATTCTGTTATATGCAAGTGTCCTGTCATGTTGCTTCATAACAATGCAAAGGAACATGCATTCAAGTCTTTCTCTCTTGGTAGTTTTATTGAAATTTTTATCAGACCTATTTTGTTTTGGCTCATTTATCAACGTAATGTTGAGGTTACCATATAATTAAGAACAGCTTAGAAAATGAATTTTTCTGATAGTATTCTGATTCAACCATTAAATTCGAAGTAAAATAAATGTATTTGGTTACATAATCTATCTTAAGAGATACAATAAATGGCTCTCACGAAGATAAAAATCGAAATCAAAATATGAATAGCTGTAATCAATAAAACAATTACAATGATGGATGTCTTCTAAGATTACGTTGATGCTCAAGCAATATGTGAAAACGATTCCATAAAATATTGGATTTAGTGTAGTGAACTGCAACGGGTTTTTTTCGGGTTTGAGTAAATAGTAAATAAAAACTTTACATCAATATCAAACTTTTGTTTTGAAATGTGGGCTTGAGAGAGAACTCCTCTAGCTTCCAAATGATGTGCCTTGTTTTGGGAAAAAAATAAATCCATGGAATTAGAGAAGGAAAATATACGAAAAAAATCGGAGTCCGATGTAAAACCGATTCTGACTTTTTTTGCGATCGTTTTCTGCGTAGAACTGCAGGAATAAAATGTTTTTCAAATCCAGATGCATCATTCGAAAGCTAAAAGATTCCACTATCGGATTTACATCTCGGAAAAGAGTTTGATCTTGATGTAAAGTTTTTATTTCCTGTTTACTCAAAATCCGAAAAAAACCGATGCAGTTCACTAATTTAATGATAGCATGTGTTAAGAAATTAAAACAATTTATACATTTTCATATAAATAAATAATTACGATCATAAGTAGGATAAAGAAAATATTTCTTAGATGATGATCCGACTCCTATGTTCAATACTTGTTTGTTGACAACCTAAAATGATGTTACGAATTATCATTAGACGATGGAGATTCATATCAAGGTAGCATCACTTGATCTGACTAACATAATAATGTGTAGTCGACAATGCACTACAATCAATAGTGACTGTTATACAGTACTGGAATAATACATAGTGTAACATATTCTTTTCGTCAATTACGTTGTCTATAATTTGTAGAATCCATGTAATTTGATAGTGTTGATAAGGAAAAAACTTATTTATGGTGTTTAGTGCAAGAGTATACTGAAATAGGAATGGTTATTTGGATGACGTTTCTGATTAATAGTCAGTGCTTTATGAAAAAAACACTGACGCCTCTAAAGGGTGTGGGTGTGGGTACAGTGCACAGAGAAGTCGTACTGATATCCACATCCGACATCTACACCCACACCCTCAAGTGAGACCACTTGATTGGCTTGAATTCGATGACACACCAGATCGAAATGACGTTTAACAATGCTGATGAAGTCAATATATAAGTAAATGAACGACTTAATATTGAAATATAAAACTTTTTATTTCAACAGCAACGAAAATGTTTTGTAATT